AGAACATATTCACACTGTGGGTTCTGCTTCTATGGAGGACCCTGGCAAACACAGCAGGCTGAAAAAGAAGCCCCAGAATGTGACAAACAAAACCTAATGGGTAATGTTGGTAGGCCCTCAAAAGAGCAGAATAGCCACAGGAAGGTGGAGGCTGGCATTTCGTGTGCGAATGAGGCCTCAGGACACGCATGTCATGTGTGGAGGAACTCGTCTGTGGTTAGTCCACATACACACTTGATAAGACTTTGAAGGTGACACACTGATAGAGAAAGTGTCAGGGTAGTCCAGAATACAAGTTGTGGAACAAAACTGCTTTCAGCCAAATTCTGAGTGAGACTCCAGAATAAAACACAGTGAGGAAGCAGGGCGTGGTGGCTCACGCCTACAATCCCAGCACTCTGGGAGGCAGAGGCACGTGGATCTCTGTGAGTTCAAGGCCAGCCTGGTCTACAAAGTGAGTCCAGGACAGCCAAGGCTACATTGAGAAACCCTGTCTTAATAAAAACAAAACAACAACAACAAAAACAAACAAACAAAAAAATAAACCACAGTGAGGAAAAGCTTAGAAAATGTACACTTGGGCTGGAGAGATGGCTCAGCCATTAAAGACTTACAATCAAAAGTGTAAGAAAGTGTGCACTTTGCCCAGAAAAGAAATGCATGTACAGTTGGGTATGAGGAAAGTATGGCTGCTGGAGGGTTAGTGCCACTGACAGAAAGGGAGCTCATGGCTGAAGGTATGGCTCTGCAGTTAAGAGCACTGGCCTGCTTGCTCCTCCGGAGGGTACAGGTTCAATTCCCACCACATATGTGGCAGCTCACAACTGTCTGTAACTCCAGTTCTGGGGGATCTGATGCCTTCTTCTGGCCTCTGCGGGCACCAGGCATGCTTGTGATGCATAAACGCACATGTAAGCAAAATACCCACACACACAAAATAATAGAATAATTTACAAAAATAATAAAAGAAATCTCTTTTTTTTTTTTTTTTTTTCAAAGAGAGCTTGGATTTGGAGAGTCCATCCTGGGTTTGTCTGTGAGGGCATTTTTCATAGAATTAGCTAAGTCTTGCCCAGAATGTGGGGTCACCTTCCATAGTCTAGGAAAAGAGAAGTGATTGAGCACAGGCCAATATTCTCCATCTACACCTCCCCTCCACGCTGCGGGGCCATGGCATGCACTGTTTTTGCTTTGCCATACTCTCCCTGCCATGCACTGAAGCCTCTGAAAGCATGAACTAAGCAAATCCCTCCTCTCTCACGCAGTTGTGTCAGGATCTTTGTCACAGCCCTAACAACACTGAGCTGTTCCAAGCACAGTTAGGAGGCACTGACACACGCGCCCTGCGGCCTCCCTTACCTCCAGAACCTCTTCACTTCTCCAAACAGAAACGCTGTTCCCTCATCTCCCTCTCCCAGCCCACAGAAGGCCTATTCTCCTCCTGTTTCTGTGGCTCTGGCCACTCTAGGGCCTCTAGATGGGTGCAATTACTGAGTCTGTGTTTTAGGTTCACCCACGCTGTAGCATTCATCAGTCAACTTTTCTTTCTTCAGCTTAAGAACAGATTTTTGACATGCACACACGCCTGTCCATTCGCCCGCATGTACCCGTTAGTTGTGCTTCCATCGTGCGGCTGTTGTGAAGCATGCTGCTTGGAAGGCAGATGCGCTGCTGAGGAGCCTCCCCCCCCCCCTTCAGCATCATTTGCTCTCAGTTGGCTTAAAGTCACTATGTTTGGAAGTCACACGGCCAGGCAGTTCGTTGGAGTCCAGTAACTTCAGCTGTATTAGCTCACATTGTGAACTGTGGTAGCTGTTGCCTGAGTTACTTTTCAGGGACGGAAGGCTGTTCCTGAAAACACTGATGCCTGGGCCTGCGGGTGTCTGAGGGGTGGCGTGTGTCTTCCACTCTGCTGCTTTAACCTTTAACCTCTCTTCGCCCTGCAGGGAGGCACACTGACCTCCCCTTTCAGCACCAGCGACAGTCCTCCTTCTCCCCCACCCTGCCCTGACTCCTAAGCACCTACAGTTCTTCAGGCAAAAATGATGGCGGCTGTTAACCCACCCCAACAAACAAATAAGGGCCTGTTCCTCGCTCAGGCAGCAGAGCAGCTTGGTCTGTGCTGTCTCCTTTCTCCTCAACAGCCGAGGCCTCATTAAAGCCTGGCCCATTTCCTTATACACTTCCTTATTTCTACTGTTCCTGAGCCTTTCAAAAGCCCAAGTCTGCAGTGACAGGTGTGTGTGTGTGTGTGTGTGTGTGTGTGTGTGTGTGTGTGCGCGCCTGTTAATGCCTGAACTTGCAGTTACTGTATGTGAGTATGCAGGAGGATTGCAGGAGCACATGTTAATTTTAAATTTTCTGTCATTTCTGTAGTAACTGAGCCATTTTACCTACAAAGGTCCCAGTTCTCCACCTCCTCCTCTATAACTGCTCTGTTTGGGTGGCAGCCATCTTGATAGGTAAGAGGTGGTGTCTCATTGTGGTACTCATTTGCACTTCCATAGTGGTGAGTGGTGCTGGCCGTTTCGTTGGTATGCTCCCTGACCATTTGTGTTATTTTAGACATGTCTGCTGTGGCGGTTTGAATAGAGTGGCCCCATAGATTCATGTATTTGAACATTTGGCCATAGAGAATGGCACTAGTAGGAGGTGTGGCCTGCCGGAGTGGGAATAGTGTTGTTAAAGGGGTCAGGCTTTGAGGTCTTATAAGCTCAAGTCTGGCCAGAGTGACAGTCTCCTTCTGCTGCATGTGGATCAAGATGTAGAACTCCCAGCTTCTCCAGCACCATGGCTGCCTTCGTGCTGCCATGCTTCCCACCATGACAATAATGGACTAAAGCTCTGAAACTTTAAGCCAGCCCCAGTTAAATTGTTTCCTTTATAGGAGTTGCTGTGGTCATGGTGTCTCTTCACAGCAACAACTAAGAAATCTGCTCAAGTCCTTTCAAGACTGTGGTTATGCTTAGTGTACAGGTCCCTTTGTGGAAACGGCACCTCACTCCCTGGTTTTCCTTTCGAGGTCTGTGTGGTCTTGGTTTGAACTAAAGGAAGCCTCTCCAGTCGGCGGCTCTAAGTGTCCCCCTTACTTGATGAACTGAATCACTAGCTTTGCTCTCAGATCCCAAATGCTACTGGTTGGGTCATTCAAGCGTGCTTGGTCCCTTCCCGTCCAGTGAGCAACAGCCCATCTCCCGTCCTGCCCTCATGGCTATGCATTCCAATCGAGTGACGGCTGCAGAGCTGGCAGGGGCCGCAATCAGAACGCAGGACAGCCGGGCACAGTGGCACATGACTGTAATTCCAGCACTCAGGGAGGCAGAGGCAGGGGGAATCTCTGTGACTTTGAGGCCAGCCTGGTCTACAAAGGGAGTCCAATACAGCCAATGATATGCAGGGAAACCCTGTCTGGAGAAACAATACAAAACAGAAGGACTCCAGGACACTATTCCTTCATCTCCTGTCCTTCACCTTGGAGGAAGTCACAACCCAGGTAGAAGTCTCAAGGTGGGGGGTGAAATAGGGAAGGCAAAGCTAAGAGGACAGTGAAGCCACTGAGGAAAGGGTTGTCCGTCCACAGAGCCAAGAGAATGGGAGAGGCCCCTGATCAGGCATTGGAGTTCAGAGACAGGACAGTCTGTGCCTCCTAGGGAAGTCTGGGAAATCCCTATGCAGTTACCAGAAGCTTGGGCTGGGCCTAACAGCCCTGGCAAGGGCAAGTGGAGTATGAAGGCAGGAAAGAAAGTACCCAGCTGCCCTTTTCCAGTACCTGACAGCCTGCCCTCCCCACCCCTCCCCTGCCTCCATCTCTTTCAGCTCCTGGCTTCTCTTTGGAGTCCTGGCCTCCCCCTCAAAGTACTCCCGTTCTAGAGCCCTCTCCAAGGCCTTCATCTGATCAGGTCTCAGCTGGAACAAACCTCCTGTGCCCCACTGTCCTTGGGATGGCATCCAAGGCCTTTTCTTCTCTGCCCAGACCACAATTCAGGCTCCTGCTTTCGGGCCTCTACTGTAAGCCCTCAGGGTCCAACAACACGGTACTTTCTTGTGAAGCTTTTTCTACCTGCCTTTTCTTGGCGGGTTGGCTGTGTAGGGCCCCTTCCACCTCCTTCTCTAGGGCAGGACTGGTTAACTGTGACTGCAGGCTGTAGAGCCTGGGCAGGGGCTGTGTGGACTGGGTTCATGCGGTTCTACCTGGCAGGACAAAGCCCACATTCCCAGGCCTGGAGTTCTGCTGGGCATCCCACTTCCGCCAAGGCCCTAACTTTTACCCCTCGACAGGAATGCAGGAATGCACTCAGGACAGCCCCTCCACCACTTCTCCAAAGCCGCCCCGCCCCGCCCCGCGCTAATCCCATCCCCCCTTGGCACTAGAGGGACACCTGATATCTTCATTGTTGCACCTGGCACCAGCTAGCGGCCAGTGAGAACTTACCTTAGGAAGTGGGAGCACCTTCGGAGTTCCCCGCCCCTCCCCGCCTAGCCCACTGCGACTCCAGGTAGGTTGGCGGCTTTGCCCACCATCCTGTCCCATGTCCATGGCCTGCTCTGCAGCGTTGAGGGTGCCCCAGCCGGGCGCACAGGCCTCTAGGACTCATCCTGCTTCCTTGAGCTGAAAGGCCAAAGGTTGCGGCTGGGAGAATGGCCGGAGCCCTGGCTTCTGTAATGTGGTTAAGTGTTAACTATTCAGCTCTGGGACAGGACGCTGGGCAGCTGTACGCCGGGTCTCGCAGCCCTGGCGGAGCCGAAGCAGGAGAGAAGGGGATCAGGGTGCGCAGGGTGGGGAGACGCGGGGCCGGGAACAAAGCCAGTTTCTGGCTGCCCGACCGGGTGCGCCGGGGTTCGGTAGACAGAACCGGTGAAGCTGCGCGCAGCTTCTGTGGGGGCGCTGGAGAGTCCAGCTCACCTGCTGCGGCTGGACCTCCCTAACCTGGTTTCCGGGGGGCGGGGCGACACAGGGGTGGGGCAACACGGGGGCGGGGCGCGCCGGGGCGGAGCGTGCCGCCGCAGACGTCAGGGGACCCGCCGCGCGAGGCCGCGGTCCGGCGCTCTGCCCGTGGGCTCGGCCGGGGCTGCCGCCAGCGTGCGGGCCGCGCCGGGCATGTCCTAGGCGGCGGCCCCGCCCAGCGCTCGGCCGGGCGGGCGGAGGGCCGGGCTGGGCCGGACAGCGATCAGGAGGGTGAGCCGCGGCCCTGGCGGGAGCACAGGTAGGACGCAGGAGGGGCCGCGCCAGCCCTGCGCTCACGGCGCCTGGGCCTCCAGCATGGCACCTGCGCGCCTCGGGGCCACACGGGAGCTGGGCGGGCTTGGACAAAGGCGGCGGCGAGGAGGGCGCTGGACGAGGGTGCCCAGTACACCTGGCCCGGCCAGTGCTCGCCGATGCTGCTCAGGTCTGCGCGCGCCCGGGAGGGACCGCCTGACATCGGCGACAAGGCCTGGCCCCGCGCATGTCTACGCGGCCTGCCGAGTGGGTAGACCTGGGCGTCGGGTCCCCGCCCGGGCACGGCCAGCGCTGATTCAGGAGACAACGCCGCTCCCTCCCCCTCTGGGCCTGGCGCGCCTGACTGCCTGCCTCCCCGCCTCCTCCCGGCTGCCCGGTGCGCCCCCCTCCCCCTGTGGTCCCTCCCTCCGTCTTCCTTCTCTTCTCTCCTTCTTTCCCTTTAGCCGCCACCGTCTCCCTGTTTTTCCTGCCTCCTCTGGGCCTGCCTCTGCGGCCGGGAGGGGACCTCGTTCTGTCTGCTTCTTTCAACCACTGGGCTGCTCCCTGCCTCCTTCTGCTCCTCAGCATCCGCATCACCACAGCCACCTCCTCCTTCACCTTCGGGTGGTGGCTCTTCTGGCTGGCGCAGCTGAGGGGACAAGTTTGGGGTGTTTATTATTCTCTCTCCTAGCAACGATAGCCGGGCTAGCCCAGCCCCAGACCTCCTCCAGCAAGCCCTGGCTCCACAGCCTTTCTAAGTTGGACTGGCAGTGGCAGTGGTCACCCCATGACCAGACTCTGGGGTTTGGCCTCCCTCTCCTCTGAGGGAGTCCCCGTGCCTGCTGTCCACAGTGAGATGGCAGCAGGTGGTGTCAGTGTGGGAGACATCGGGGCTGGGTGGGGCTGGGAGGCTCACTGATCCTCTAGGGGCCTTCACAACCGCCCTGACACCTTTGGCAGTAGGGTTGGGTCTTTCTGGGAGACCCATGAGGTTTGTGTCCTGGGAGCTGCAATGACACTGAAGTCTCGCCCCTTTAGTCCTTGCCTCTCTAGAAGCTGGGCCCTAAGGACAAGGGGACCCAGAGTCTGGTAGGGGGTGTGCTCCTGGACACATGGAGCTATTTTCTACTGATGCAGGTTTTTTTTCTTTTTTCATCTTTTTCCTGCATCCTGACGGAGTGCTAGGCTATGCACGGTCACTTGGGCTCTTACAGATGGACAGACCCCTGTGTTCTTACCTGAGATCTGAGCAGCCCTGTGTTTAGGCCTGTAGGCATGGCTACTGGGCATTGCAGGATAGGCTTTGGGCCCTAGGATCACTAGTGTGACCTCTTGAGATGTATGTTGTGTGTGTCCATACTTCCAGAGAGATAAGGGAGGGCCTTGTACGGCTGCTCCTGTGTCAGTGATGGCTTCTACCTGGCCAGCCTCATGGTGAACCCACAGTCTTTCTGTACTCATCATGTACACTGTGGCCCTGCCCTCACCTCTGTCCCGTGCTGCTGCCCTACTCCCTGATGAAGTGGAAGCAGTTGTCGCTTAGTTATTCCTGCTGTTGCGCAGTCTCCTGACTTTCAGCTGTTCTCTTGTGAGGTGTGTGTGTGTGTGTGTGTGTGTGTGTGTGTGTGTGTGTGTGTGTGTTCTAAGGTATGAGGGTTCAAATCCAGGGCCTGGCACCCCCTGGCAAGTGCTATGCCATCGAGCCCCAACCCGGCCACTCTAGTTGTTCTTCACGGAATAACAGCTTGTGCTGCACCGGGACTCAGTAGCTGTAGACTGCCCTCTTGGACCACTAGGCCAGCATAGAGCCACTGCACAGACCCATGCTTGGGCTCATGCTCTGCTCTTGAAGCTCATTTCCTGTGTTTGAACAAGGCTTGAATTTTCATGTCGTACTGGGCTCTGTGGTGATGGAGCCGGTCCTGTGCTCCGAAGACTTCTTTCTTGCCCCGGGATTTGTAGAGTGGCCTGCTGGAGGGACACAGACCCTCTGGTAAGGGTGTATGTCCTGGAGACCTCAGTGGGCTGTGCTGGGTACTTCCTGGGAGCTCTTCCTCATGGTTCGTGCAGCATGGCCACCGTCACCTAGAGAAAAAGAGTGTGAGGCCTGGAGCACAAAGGAGACCTTCTTTGAGACCTTGGCCACGAGCTTTTTAAGGAGCAGATCTGTGCTGGTCTTGCGTATATCTGGGGGACTAAAGTCCAGGCTGGGGATCTTCACTGTTGGCCGTCTCTCCACAGGGCCAGGCTGGCCTCCTCAGTGCCAAGATGAGTGTCACATCATGGTTCCTGGTGAGCAGCAGTGGCACCCGCCACCGGCTCCCGAGGGAGCTCATCTTCGTGGGCCGCGACGAATGTGAGCTTATGTTGCAGGTGAGTGGGGTTCCCTTCCATTTCGGAAGGTGATTTAGGGGCCTTACAGTGAGGAAGAGATCCCTCATTGCCTGGGCCCTAGATCCCGAGGTGGACATGGGTAGGAGTGTTGAGTGAATGGTCAAAGACTTGGGTTCTTGCTCCTTCGTGTCAGACCTATCTGACAAGAAAGTGCAGGCTTCCTGGAAGGCTGAGAAGGTATCCTGTGTGGATGGGGCTGAGGAGCATCTCAGAAGGTACTGGAAGAAGGCTCGTTTGTGTCCTTGCTGCTTTGCCATAGCGGTTGGCCGAGGGCCGTCCTGAAGGGCTTGTTCTCAAACGTGATCAGATGGTGGATAGTACTGGTGATGTTATCGTGTGCCCTGACAGGATGGGTCCCCTCTCCGGACTAGAAAGGGTGATATGGCTGGGCTGCCTGGATTTCAGAGCCTGCGTTAGGTTTCTTGGGGTTCATGTATCTGGCTTAGGAATGAAGGGCGTGGGCGTGGGCGGGGTACTGACCTGCAGAGCCCATCCTGACCTAGGGCTACAAATGAGTTAGGCTTCTTGCAGTCCTGGACTGCTTCCACCCCAGCACAGAGCACGGGATCCTGGCCTCCAGCCTCTGGTCTCCGCTCCCCATCATGGGACTCTGAGAAGGAAATGAACGTCCTGATGGTATGCATGGTCACTTGGGCTTTTACAGATGGACAGACCCCTGTGTTCTTACCTGAGATCTGAGCAGCCCTGTGTTTAGGCCTCTAGGCATGGCTACTGGGCATTGCAGGATAGGGTTTCTGGTCCAGCAAAGGGTCTGCTCAGAGCAGCTGCCCAGTGCCCCTAGATGGATCTTCTTTGTGTTTAGTCTCCCACGTGTAGTAGGGGCCATATTGCACACTCCTGGGTGTGTGAGGCTCCAGAGAGTAGGCTGAGCTTGAGCTGAGCATGGTCAGCGAGCCTTGATGTCCCTGTCCATGGCTTGCATAGCCCCTGTGCTGCTTTCTAGAGTTCATGTCCCTCAAAGGTTAAATGTTAGCTCTGGCCCCTAGCGGGATGATTTGTTTGTTTCAGTTTTTGAGACAGTTTTCTGTGTAGCCTTAGCTGTCTTGAACTCGCTTTGTAGACCAGGCTGGCCTCAAATTGACAGAGGTCTGCCTGCCTCTGCCTCCCTGAGTGCTGTGATTAGAGGTATGTGTCACTGCACCTGGCTAAAATGCTACCTCTGTTTTTGTTTTAAAGATTTATTTACTTATTATTTATATATTATTCTGCCTGCATGTACACCTGTACACCAGAAGGGGGCACCAGATCTAACTACAGATGGCTATGAGCCACCATGTGGTTGCTGGGACTTGAACTCGGGACCTTTGGAAAAGCAGCCAGTGCTCTTAACCGCTGAGCCAATCTCTCCAGCCCTAGTGGGATGATATTAAGAGATATCCTCATGCATGGGAATTAGGTCTGTCTTAGGCTTCTATTGTGCTAAAAACCATAACCGAAGGCAGCTTGGGGAGGACAGCGTTTATTTCACCTTACAGTTTATACTCAATCACAAAAGGAGTAACCCTGAAGCAGGAACTGACTGAAATAGAGGCCTTAGAGGAACAGTGCTCACTGGCTTGCCCTTCTTGGCTTGCCCAGCACACTTTCTTTACCACTCAGGACCACCTGTTCAAGGGTGGCACTACCCACAGTGGGCAGGATCATTCCCTATCAATTAGCAATAAGAAAATGCCCCTGGCTTGTATGCAGGGAATCTGACAGATTTCATTTTCTCAATTGAGGCCCCTCTTTCCATTTGACACTAGCTTGTGTCAGGTTAACAAAAACAAACTAACAAAAAGAAAACAACCAGGACATGATCCTTATAAAATATGCCTGAGGTAACTTATTCACTCTTTATGCCAAATGGGGACCCTGCCAGAAGGTGCTATCTTTTGAAGTTGCCTGTCTTTGACAACTTAACCGTGGGTACCCACCCCTCCCTTAGCACAGTCCCTGTCTCTTCATGACTCTACAGCGGGGAGCAGTCACATCTGCCCTGTAAGGTCCGTTTGGGTCATGTAGGTTCTACCAAGCAGTGTTTGCGGAGTGTGAGAGAGTGCAGGGACTGGAAGAATACACAGTGAAGCTTATTTATTTATGACACTGGCTTCACGGAGAGGAAATAGCTCATTTGAAAGTACGAAAACCGTGCAACAGGTAGGAGCTGAAAGCTGCACTCCTAGCCTGTACCCACAGCCCTGGCCGCCTGGTTGCCCCCTCAGGATGTGGTCTGCATATAGGCATGGCCTTGGCGGTGGCTTTGCTCTCTTCCCGAGAGCCATCAGGTTGGCTCCCTGGAACAGGCAACACTTTGAGGTAGCTGGAGTGAGGCTGGGGTGCTGGAGACCGGGAACAGGCGCTCTCTCCTATACCTGGACCCTCCTCCAGGGCTCTTACTCAGAGGTCACTGTACACAGAGAAGGTTTGGGGTCAGGTGCTTAATTTCTGAGCTTCTTAGTGGTAGAGCCCTGAACAGGACCAGAACAGCAGCAGTTTTTCCATGCGGGGTAACCCCAGGCTGGGCGCCCCTGCATTTCTGTCCTCCCTGTCCCTGAGGGATGTGATTATGAGGGGTGTCTTTCTTTTTACATATGCTAGCTGGGGCTTTGGAGGTCATGCAGGTATAGGATGAGTGCAGAGCTGGAGCCCTCCTAGCACCCCTGCCTGCAGCAGGCCTTGCCCTGCCATGCCCAGCTGACCCTTGTTCAGGCCACCTGTTCCTCTCACCCTCTTGGCCTCTGCTCTCCTTCTGGCTTTCTTGACCCCCTCACTCTCTGTGGAGCATCCCATAATAAGGAGCCCCAGGGCTTGCTTCTTCCTGGTAGCTCCCCTTTAGTAGAATTTACATAACATTTGCACCTGCCCTGACCCCAGCACCTGGGCTGCTCTGGCTGCTCTGTTGCGGCCCTGGGACCCTTCAAAGTAGCCTAGACTTGTCCTCCTCTTCTGTCCCCTCTACCTACATCTCTGCCAGGGGCCACCATTGCCCCTGTTCCCTTCCCCCAGCCAGCTCCTGTTCACCTCGGCTCTTAGAGAGACTTCTTCCCTGTTGTGGGTCTCCCCTCTGGTGTCCGCTCACCCCACTCCTACCCTGTGCCAGCCCACACCCCTGGCCAGCCACAGGAATACAAAACCCTGCTTCAGTATGAGCAGATGCCACTATGGGTGGGTTTGGAGGACTAGGACCTACCAGACATCAACACAAGCGAAGGGCAGTGAGGAGGGGGCCGTCAACAGGGCTGTGAGGAAAGGACCTCCGCTTAAGGAGTTGGAGGGCCCGCTGCAGAGTCGGCCTCGGGAGGGCAGAGGGGCAGCTAGCAGAGCTGGGCAGCCAGGCAGAGGGGCCTGAGGAATTTTGTTTTGTGTGCTGGGGGCAGAGACATCTCCAGTAGCCGCATGCTCCCAAAGGGCTATGCTCTCCAGGCCTGCTCTTTGTCCAGCACAGTACCCTCAGAGGAGGCCTGGCACAGAGCCAGCACCTATTCATGACGTGCAGTATCAGGTAAATGGGAGCACATGTGTACATACATGAGGTGTTAAGCTTTTGGTTTTGTTTTTCTGAGACACGGCTTCTCTGTGTAGCCCTGGCTATCCTGGACTCACTTTGTAGCCCAGGCTGGCCAGCAATCTGTCTGCCTCTGCCTCCCTGAGTGCTGGGATTAAACCCCATGCTTGGCTGCAAGCATCTTTTTGTTTTTTGTGTTTTTAATGTGTTATATATGATATATATGTGTGTGCGTGCGTGTGCTGTTAGCTTATGGAGAGCTGGCTTCTGCCTCCACCTGCTCTGTTCTTTGGCTGTCCTTGGCTCTGTGTGACACCCTAACCCAGAAAGCACATCCCAGAGCCAAGGAGCCTCAGAGGCCCTGTTCACAGAGCAAGTTCAGCCAGCTGCTGTGGATGCCTATAGCTCTGCTATGGTTATGCTGGTGATGAGCTGGCAGGAAGGCATGCCCAGAGCCCTGGGTGTGGCACTGCCGGGGTCAGCACAGCCAGGACGGGGCTCTTCCCATGGAGGGAGGGTGCCAGGCGTGAATTTTAGAAACCTATCATTTTAACATTTTAAGTAAGCACAGGCCATTAACTTTTCCTTTAGTGTGTGCCTGGTGCTCTGCTGCCCACTCGCACGCCTGTGTGTGTCCACTCTCTGGCTCAGTGTTCCTCTCCAGTCTCCAGTTGAGACCAGTCCTGAGTGCTGCACCCAGAGCTGCGTCTCCTGGCTGCGCCAGCTTCTAACTTCTGAGCATGTGGCTGTGGCTGGGTGAACTTTACTACTGGTCCTAGGTGATGGGAGATTCCTGGCTGGGGGTGGCAAGAAGGCAGCTCAGTTCCTTCCTCTTCTGTAATCTGAGAGGAATTTGTCATGAAGGACAGTCCTAGGACTTGGTAGGCTTCTAAGTCCACTATGAGTAGGGGCTCATGCGAACGCTGTGTCAAGACAGAGGTTCTGGAAATAGGTCAGGGTAGGGGGGATGCTATGGGGAGAGGCGGTGTGGGTGCAGGGAGGGGATGGTTCCAGGTGAATGGCATCAGGGGGGCTGGAACCCACCCTCGGTGAGGATGTGGTGTGACTAGAGCCTGTCTGGCCTGGCAGAAAGAAGGGGGTATGGAGAGGCCTCCGGAGCCTTGGGTCTCTGGATATGCAAGCCGTGGGGGCTAAGGAAGTTACTCAGGGCTGGGCAAGGTCAGGATGCTGCAGTCAGGATGATGGCAAGGACTGTGAGGCCAAGCTGAGGAGGGAACATGTTTTGGATGTAGACTGAAACCAACTGAATACAGAAACTAGCAGAGTATACCCTTAGGAATGGCCAGGATGGGCATTCCTGGAAAGATCCTGGAGGGCAGAGGACTGAACTGCCTGGAGGTGTCCAGGGTGAGTGGAGGAGGGGGTCATCGGGTGCAGGGTGGGTGAGGCTTCAGGCCTGCAGTGGTCAGCCTGAAGTGCTTCAGGGGTCAATCCAAGCTGCCATCTCATCCACTTTAGGCCAGCAGCTAAGGCCTTAGCTTAAGCCTGGGCTACACCCACATCCCTGCCCTTTCTGGACCTTGGCCCTAAGTCTGAGCTTCCCTGAAGCAGCTGCCCTCTCTCACCCCTGGAGCCCTTGTGTCTGGCAGGGAGGCACGTGGCTAGGTATAGGCTAGGATTTTGGTAAGCAAATGAAATGATATCTGGCCAGGTGTTTGCCCTGTGCCCTCCAAATATCTGTAGGTACAGCTATAGACAAGAAACTTGGGCCAGCCCAATATGGGCCTTGGGGATGGAGCTGGCCATCTCAGGGCCAACAACCTGCTCTGTCAGAAGCCTGTGGCTTTGGGAACAGGTGAACTAGGTCAGGACAGGCCTGGGGAGGTCACGGGGAGAGACTGAGCAGGCCAAGTCTTAACCTGTATGTCCCTAGCAGAAATGTGGGCTACTCTGGGGGAGGCAGCCAAAGGATGGTCACCCCTGGACACTGCCCTTGAATCCCACGCACTTCCTGAAAGGATGTGTGACCCTCTCTCAGCCCCTTCCCCCAGAGCCTACCTCACTACAGCCTGTCATCGTGAACAAGCCAGACACGGGGGGGGGGGGGGGGGGGGGGGGGGGGCGCTGCTGGGGCCTTATTGCCCAGGCGGCAGTGGCCATAGAGGCTGGGCTAAGGTCCACCTGGAACCCACCCAGCTGCAGTCCTGTCTTTAGGATCTCCCCTACTATCTCCTCTGAGGCTGGAGACAAAGTCTCCTCTGCCATGTCACATGGCTAGCAGTAGAGTGGGCTAGGCTAGAGCCCATGAAAATCCTCTCCCCAGTCCCTGCTACATGGCTGGCCCTGAATGGACTCGTTATTGCTGGGGGCAGGGCAGGATGATGGTACCTGAAAGGAAGAGAGGCTGCGCCATAGTGGTGGGCAGCTGGAGGGGCCTGTGCCCTGAGTTCTGAGCTGAGAAGCCCATACCCTGGGATATCCTGTCATGGGGTGGGAGGGGGGTTGTCTTGTACCACAGGCCCTCACCAGTGTGCTCTGGAGGTGGAGCTCATGGTTTGGAAGGCCCAGCCTGGGGTATATGCTTTACCTGAGCTCAGCAGTCTCCCAGCATTGATTGGCTTTGCTGTCATCTCTCAGGCTGAACTCCTCAGGAAATGGGCCAGGCAGACGCCACTGCCCCTCACAGTACAGGTCCCAAGTGTTGTGGGGATGGAAATGAGCACAGGGAGGCGGGGTGCTGACATAGTCGGCTTCGTAGACTGGTGATGTGGACCCGCGCCGACAGCACCTAAGCAAGCAGTGTGACCCTGTTGCTGCCTATGTCCTGGGCATAGGATCTGGGGGCTCAACCCTGTGAAGATCCGGTGACTATCCTGGGGAGGGTCCTGGGCAGGTCGGTGGTCAGGTCAAGGTGAAACCAATGTGGAGTGGGGAGGTACCACATACATTGTTTAATGAGTACCTGGGCACAGCACGAGCAGGTGCAAGCCAGGCCCTGCTCGGGTGGGCCGGCGGGAGCTAGGTGGGGGAGCCGAGTGATCAGTGAGCACCATCAGAGGTGTGTGTCCCCATCTCGAGGTTTGTGTGGGCTGGCCTCCCCTGCCTGCCCTTGGGAGGGAACAGCCTCTCTCAGAAGGCAAGGGTGTCCATGCTATCCCACACTGACGCAGGAGCCAGCACCTGCCCTGGAAACGGGGCACGGGGGAGAGTGCTCATGGAAGGAGGGTCCTGGGCGGCAATAGGACGGAGTGGCTCTGGTGCCCTGCACAGCCCTGTGGCACTTGGGTGGCTTTGACTGCACTCTTGGGAGGGGGCTGCTCAGGAGCTTTGAGGCCCACCGGTGCTGGTATAACGATAGACCTCGGCAACATGGGGACCCTGCCCTGGGGCGGGGCACCTGAGGACCATCATCTCTTTCCTCAGTCCCGTAGCGTGGACAAGCAGCATGCCGTCATCAACTACGACCAGGACCGTGATGAGCACTGGGTGAAGGACCTGGGCAGCCTCAATGGGGTGAGTGTGCTTGGCTGTTGCTGGGTCCCCGCCTCCCCCAGCCACAGTCATGCCCACCCCTGGCTCCCTCCACTCCAGGGCCTGTCCAGAGCTCCTGTTGGTTGAAGATGAGGCCTTCTTCAGCCATAGAGGCCAGAGCTCTGTTGGACTAGGGAGGCACAAAGCTAGGAAATGAGTTCCCCCCCAAAATCAATGAGCTGTGCCCAACCCCACTTGTGGAAGGGAGCGTGTGTCCTTTTGTTCTTTGAGTGGGACTAGGGAAGGAGGGAGGCCCTGACTGTGTGAGTGAGGCACTGGGTGAAAGGAGCTGGAAGGACAGGTGGCCTCTCTGGGGTTTTGTGTCTGCCCTGTCTAGACATGCTTCTTTCCGTGAAGACAGGCCATCCCTGTTTTCAATAAGAAAACAGACTCTGAGCCATTCCTGCTCGTGTAGCCCTGTGCAGGCGACCCACAGTCACGCCAGTGTGCTCTGCCTGCTCAGTGTGAACCTGGGGCCAAGGCCTAGCATCACCCTCAACTCCCTTCCTCCACCCTTCATACATTGCAGCCCTTCCTGCTGGGGCTTTGGAACAAGTAGGCCATCCACCGGGCTGGGTGGGATCGCTGGGGCATCGGGCCTCAGTCCCAGTCAGACTTTCCCACCTGAAGGGTTTGCTGCCTGAGAGGTTGGCTCCTAGGATAGGGAGCCAGGAACACAGTAAGGCAAGGAAGACCTGCTCAGGCCTTCTCTTCCCCTCTCTTCTGTAGACATTTGTGAATGACGTGCGCATCCCAGACCAGAAGTATATCACACTGAAGCTCAATGATGTCATCCGCTTTGGCTATGATATCCTTCCCTGAAGGACTCCCCTACTTGGTTCCATCAGGACCAAGGCCACAGTTGCTCTGTGTCTTAAAGCAGATTAGGGGATTTCTAAGTCACAGCTAAGGCCCTCAGGCCTAGAGGTTACCTGAGGTTGGGCTCCCTCTGCTGAAAGGGCATTCTGTGGTGTTCCAGCCGGACCCCAGCCTCAGCCTGCCTGTCTGCATGCTCAGCCTGGGGTCACCAAGGGGCTAAGGAACAGGCCATTACTCTTTGGAACCCAGAGTCCTGGTTTGACCTTGAGTTCTGAAGCCTGCATATTCTATGGTGGGGCGTGATTGGTCCTCCCCGAGAAGGGGCTCTTTTCCACCTCCAGGAGTATTTGAGTCCACCTACTCGCACTGATGACGACAGTGCTCACCTGTGTGCAGCCACAGACCTTTCCTGCTCCTCCCATGCTGTGTTCTCCTTAACTTAGCCACATTCCAACATGTATGTGCTAGAGCGCGTGCAGCACCGAGTCCCTGAGGAGGCGCTCAAGGTCAGTATCGAGGAGGCCGGGGACTAAGAAAGCCCCCCTGTGGGACCCCTGCCTGTGAGGGTTGAGCCCCACAGCCTACCATTCTCTGCTCCTGCTTTGGCATCTCCCCAAGACACCTTCCCCAAGCTCCTGAGACACCCTTTGCTGGCTTCAGGTGCCATGAATCAGGGCTGCTTGACCTGTCCTGCTGGATGTCCCAGTCCAGCAGGTGAAAAGTAGTCATTACCCTCAGGCTTATACACAGCAACAGGTGGTAAGGACAGCTGGGGAGGTAAAGGCTGAGTGGTTGGCTGGCTGGAACAGTTGGGGCTTTTGAACCCTACAAGATACCTACAAGATTTGGACCATGTAAGTCAGGTAGTGGGTGGAACATGGTCTGTGGCTCAGGAGATAGCCCATGGTGCTAAGTTGGGCAGCCATGGATGTGGATGGACACTGGGGTCATCCAGCAGGAGACCCGGATCCATGGGGAGTAGAATATGCCACCAGTGGGCCCAGCAAGGTGGAAAGCCAGACCGCACTCTTTCTTGGGCCCTGAACCCACGCAGGGGAGGATACGGGGGGGGGGGGGTGTCAGGAAGTAGAGGGCAAATGGAAGCCACCAGTGTGTCCTCTGGGTTGGTGTCATTGAGACTGCTGAGGTCACAGTGGTTGGAGCCTCATCCAGGGAGTTAGGATCCTATGGCAGCCTAGTGTTTCCTTTCCCTTGTTTGTATGGGTCACGGAGCTTTAAGTTCTTGGGTGAACCATGGGAGTGGTGTGTCCTTACCCAATTTTCTAAGTGAACTTGTAGAGTCCTGCAGCTAGGCTCCTGAGTGGCTAACCTTCCCAAGGGCCTGTTTCAGGTGGGGCCAGGAGGAGGATGGTCTCTGAGGCTCTGCCCTTGTGATTCTTGCCTGCTTCCTTCCTTCCAGAGAAGCAGACTCCAGCTCTCGGCCTAGCTCTGAACTAGAGCATCCTCCACAGGGCCTAGAATCCTCAGCTACCCAGCAGATGGACTAGTCTCAGATTCTTTCTGTTCTTGTGGGAGAGGCAGGGCTGCCTGGGAGGCTCTCCAAGGCTGGCACACTAGCCCTCACCCTGAGCCCTCACCCTGTGCTTGCCCACAGCACGAGAAGTACACCAGCCAGCTGCAGGTGAGCGTCAAGGTCTCTGCCCCCAAGAGGGGGGAGGTGCTGCCGGAGCACACGCCGTACTGCGAGTCCTCACAACTCAGGCCGGAGAAAGGGGACCGGAGACATGGAGCAGGTAGGCTGTGGGTGTGAGGACCAGGATGGGCAGGAGAAGAACAAACATATAGAGCCACCCAAGGCCTGTCTGTCTCCATCCTGTTTCCCCTTGCCCCTCTGGATACCATCTTCTCCTACTTTTTCCCACCCCCCTTCCCATGTGACTCCTCACCCCAGCTTGAGAGTTCACAACACAACTCAGTAGTCAGGGCCCAGGCCTGCTTAACCCTGCCTTGTCTTATGTGTCTGCACCCTAGAGGGGGAATGCACATACCTCCCCAGGCATGCCTGCTTTTCTCAGACCCTGGAGCTTCCATCAGCTGATGGATCATCAGATGGCCACCCTTGTGGTCTGCCACAGCTCAGAGACAGGCAGGACTAAATTCCTTGAAGTCAGGAATCTGGGCCTGAGTCTGCAGATTACATGGCCTCTGGGGCTGTGGGGGGGGGGGGGGGAGACAGGTGACTGCAAGGTAAGGTCTGCTGTATGTTCTGAGGGGGTAGCGCAGAGGTGGGCAGCGCCATCTGAGTCTAGGTGGGCACAGGGACACACAGCACAGCAACAGGAAGCATGAGTCCTGCCTGGGTGTGCAGTGGTAGGCTGGGCATGTTCTAGGCGGAAGAAGGGATTTCCAGGCAACCAGGTTCATGTTCTTTCTGCATCAGGAAGGTCACCTCGTTGCCCCAGCCCTGGCCAACACCTGCTGTGCATTATGGGTCAGCCCACATGCCCACACGGAGTAGCTGGGATGCGGGTGTGCCCTGAACAGTGACCTAGGCTTGTCTTTGGGAAGGCTGCTGGGGACTGGGCAGGTTTCCAGAAAGCCATGTGACCTGCTCAGAGCACCTGTCAGTGTCCAGGCTGTGAGTACACAGCTGGTGACAGTGGCTTGGGGCTGTCCCTGAGGCTACAGCAGGTGCAGCCAGCTGGGCAAGTGAGTTTCCCACAGAGCAGACACAGCACATTGGAGGATCCAGGATAGGCTCGGAGCCAGCAGCTTGGAGAGCCCTGCTCAGTGGCAGAGGCATGCTGCTTCAAGAGCCACTGCCCAGCACTGGGTAAAGAATGAGGTCCTTAGGCCCAGTAGTCAGGGCAACAGCCTGGGTGTGGATGGCGGAATAAGAGCAGTGCCTATGGTATGCCACAGGGGAATGCCATGAAGAAACCCATTATTTGTGTAAGGAATAGATGGTGATTTTGTAGAGAATGGGGTCCCTGGAGGAAAAGACAGCATGCACAAAATACCAAGGGACTTGCTGGCTGACAGGTAACCCAGCCTTTGGACTTTCTTGCTGCCTGCTGGTGTGAGCAGCTGGGCAAGTAACCAAGACTCTGGTGGCTGTTGGACCCAGCAGAAATGGAAAGGGCTTTGGGGGGCCAGGGCTGTTTGCGTATTATAGCCAACTCTCTGCCCTGGGGCACTTGACTCTGCTTTTGCCCAGACAGGAGCTAAAAACCTAGATTCATGGGAATTAGAATGTTAACTTCTGGACAGGGATCCAGACATTAAAACAAACCCACCAAAGTGTCATAGTGGGTCACTGAGACTGTGGTGGCCTTCAGCCCTAGGGCCACCCATTATGGCAGAGCTATTTATAGAACCTTAGAAGAAGCCAGACCTTGTTGATGGGCTCTTGCTGCTTTGAGTACTGTAAGGCAGAGAATGCAGCCTCCTTGCCCAGGACAGGCTGCCCCTAAAGACTGTATCTCCTAAGGTGAACCTTCCTACGTCACCACCCGAGAGAGGCCCAGGCAGGGCTAGTGGCCGTCTTTACCCACAGATGTGGAAACAGAGTGGTCACCCAGAGTGGTCACCAACTGGCCAGGGCCTTGAGTAACTGCAGGTCTCAGCCGGAAGTAAGCCCAGGGCCTGGTCGGTAGACTGGCCCTATTCCTAAGTTCCAAACTCCCCTGCAGAGGCGGTAGCTTACCGCACGCCCTTGTACGGCCAGCCCTCCTGGTGGGGTGAGGACGACAGTACCACTCCAGCTGAAGACCGGCACCAGGAGGAGCCCTATCCAGGTGAGCCTCGGCGCTCCAGCTGTGACTGGGGTAGAGGGTAGCAGGGTGGCCTTTTAGAGGCTTGGCCTGAGGATCCCTCCTCACAGAGCACCCCAAAGATGCGGCACAGCAAGATGGTGATTTAGACGGCTGCCGTGCTCCCGCCGAGCCTCCGGACTACTCGTTCAGACGTGAGCCCAGCTACTTCGAGATCCCCACCAAGGAAGCCCCACAGCCACCACGGCTCCCCGAGATGCCAACACAGGAAGTGCCCACAAAGGACCAGGAGGCAGGTGGTAGCGGGACAGCCCCTGTAGTACAGAGCCACGCCTCCTTCACCATTGAGTTTGATGACTGCAGCCCAGGCAAGGTGAAGATCAAAGACCACATCACCAAGTTCTCCCTGCGCCAGCGGCGGCCCCCAAGCAAGGAGGCCACACCTGTGGAGATGGTCTCTGCCGAAACCAAGGTAGCGGACTGGCTGGTGCAGAATGATCCGAGCCTGCTGCGCCGGGATGGCCCAGGGGATGACCGCCACAGCACCAAAAGCGACCTTCCTGTCCACACCCGTACCCTGAAGGGTAAGTGCCTGCTGGGCATCTGGGCAAGTTCTTAAGTAGGTGGTCTGCCTGTCTCCACACCATGGCAGGGAGGTCCCAGGTGGCTTGGCTGACTTTCACTTTCCAGTGAATTGGCTGAGAACCACCTGCCTGGCCTGGGGGCGGGGCAGTGTCTAGCGTCTTCCACATCACCGAGTCACACGTGCTAGGCTCCAGGTGGCGCAGGACCTCCCTCCACACGGGGTCAGTTTGGATCTATTCCCTGTGGGTGTGGGGCGGGGAGGCTCCCCAAGGCTGCTCACTGTATGTTGATGAACAAGGGTTCTCACAGGCCACAAGCATGAGGATGGCACACAGAGCGACTCAGAGGACCCCTTGGCCAAGGCGGCTTCGGCTTCGGTGTCTGGAGCCCCAACAGAGGCCGGTGGGGAGCAGGTGCGGCTGCAGAGGCAGATCAAAAGGGACCCCCAAGAGCTGCTGCACAACCAGCAAGCCTTTGTCATCGAGTTCTTTGACGAGGATACACCCCGCAAGAAACGCTCACAGTCTTTTACACACGCCCCACCCACAGACCCCAAGGCGGACAAGCGCCGGGCCGCTGGGGCTGCTGACAGAGAGCGTCCTGGCGTCACAGTCCGTGCAGCTGCCCCCAGCAGCAGCTCGGGACCACAGAGGGCCAGCTCCCTCAAGCGAGAGAAAACTGAGGAGCGCCTGGGCAACACTTCCCCCGTCCCCCGAGCCTCCACCCGCCCCTTTGGCAGTGTGGGGCGCCGCTCCCGCCTGGCCCAGGACTTCATGGCCCAGTGTATGCGGGACAGCTCCCCGGCCCCCAGGCCCGGCCCTGAGAAGATGCCTCCGGTGCTGCCCGCCCCCTTGACACCACGGGGGGCCAGCCCCGTGACCCCCTCAACCACCCCACCGCCTCCCATTGACCCTCAGCTGACCAAGGCGCGGAGGCAGGAGGAAGACGACAGCCTTAGCGACGCCGGCACCTACACTATCGAGACTGAGGCGCAAGACCGAGAAGTAGAGGAGGCTCGGAAGATGATCGACCAGGTATCCTGACCAGTATATGGCCGGATGGTACCTTGACGGGGCTTGTGGACCAGGGAGGGGCTCCAGGGCTGATGGTCACGTGGGGGAACCAAATGATGGCCTGCTGCTGCGATATCATCTGTCCGGTCCAGCTGAGCGAGAGGACCTGGAGGAGGGAGGTCCCACTGGGCTCTGACTCTTACCTTCTCAGAATGGGCCCAGCTGAATAGTCGGGCAGCATCTCTGTGGGGGCGGAGATCCAGGCCCCTCTGACCCTCAGTGCTATCCCCTTTTGGCAGGTTTTTGGGGTGTTTGAAGCTCCTGAACTCTCCAGAGTGTCCTCAGCTACCTTCCGTCCAGTCATCCGAGGTGACAAAGATGAATCCACTGATGGGGCTATGGCCCAGCGGATGGCTTTGCTGCAAGAGTTCGCCTCCCGAGCACCGGGCATGGCTCCCCAGATGGAGCAACAGGTACAAGGCTGTGCAGCCACCCCATGCAGTGTCAGGGTAGAAAAGGAAGGGTCATAGATGCAGATTTGGGGCTGAGTCCTGATTTAGTAGTGACATTGGGGTCACGAAAACCTAGGGAAGGTCACGGGGTCCTCCTGGCTGCTTCTGCAGAGGGAATTGCCTATGGCAGCTATAGCGTGAATGGCTTTCTTCTAGCTCCTGGCATCCATTCAGGGTTTATGGATATATTTTCTTGCCCTTCTCTCTGCAGAGCCTCTTGGTCCCAGGCTCCCCTGGGGGTCAGAAATGGGTTTCCCGATGGGCTAGCCTAGCTGACAGCTACTCAGACGCTGGCTTGGCAGGTATGTAAGCCCAGAGTTCTCTAAGGGTTGGGGGTCACACCAAGGTGGTCTCAGGTGGACCACAGACATAGTTTGCCTCAGCCTGTGCCTGGAAGGGGGTTGGGGCTCTGTGTCTCTATAGGTCCCGAAGTTCTGTGGCCATTCTAACTGCATTGGCCTTGTGCTTTGCAGAGGACGGTCCTGGGCGCAGAACTGGAGAGCCTGAGGGTCCCCTGCCTGTGCGCACTCGGCGACTGCTCCCTCAGTTGCCCAGTGACAGGGCTGATAGCCCAGCAAGTCTTGAAGCTGCCAGGCGGAGTGGCGCAGGGCCACCGGAGCTTGGCAGTGAGCAGGCAAACCGCCTTATAGGCCAAGAAGACCTGGACCCTGATAGCCTCAGTGATGCCAGCGGGTCAGATGGCGGCCGAGGCCCAGAACCAGGCACAGACCGGCAGGAGGAACTAGCGTGGGCCAGGGGCCGGCGCTCACCAAGGGCCCCTGGGGAGCTGGCCCCCACCTCTTTCTTCATTGGTGATCAGAATGGAGAGGCCACCTTCCCCAAGAAGTCATTTGTGGCTCCTGGGGAGGTGGACGGCCCGGGACGGATAGTCCAGACGAGCCCTTCGGCAAGAGACAGCCTCCACGTCAGTGCCAATGGGAGGATGGTGATACAGCTACGCAGTGGGCGCTCCCCAGAGCCTGACCCGGCCCCGCCAAAGGAGGCTCTGGCCTTTGCCCGGCAAGAGAGCTTCACCAAGGAGCCGACCAGTGGCCCCCCAGCACCTGGCAAGCTCCCTCACATTTCCAGCCACCCGCTCCTCCAAGACTTGGCTGCAGCCCGAGCCTCGCGGACGGACTTCCACACGCAGGACACTCAGCTGATCTTGAAGGAGACGGAGACAGCCCTGGCAGCCCTGGAGGCCCAACTACGCTCCAAGTCTGCAGGAGCGTGCGGGGGGGGCAGCACCCCCAGGCCTCCAGAGGACTCCTTGTCCGGGGATTCAGATGTGGACACAGCCAGCACCATTAGCTTGCTCAGCGGCAAGAATGGACCGAGCCCAACAACCCCCCAGACTCCAGGGCCGCAAAAGGAGACCCTGCTGTCTCCACCAGCGATGCCAGACCCAGGGGGTGCTACCCAGGGCAGTGCCCGAGAGCGGCTCTCAGAGAGACAGCATCGCCCGCCAGGCCATGCAGACTCGGGCCAAGGAGAGCCGTCAAGGCGCCTGGCCATGCGGCGTGGCCATGGGTCTCGAGGGTCTCTGGACTGGCCCGAAGAGGAGCGAGGCTCTGGCCTTGCCCACCTGCCCAACTCTAACCACGAGACGCCTGAGGCCACTGTGGCAGGTCGACAAGGGCCTCGCAGGAAACCCGTGGCTCCCCCACCATCCCCAGCTGCCCGGGAGGAACAAGGCCGCACCTCCACTGCTGCTCAGAAGGTGCATCAGGCCCTGACCCGCTCCAACAGCCTGTCCACCCCAAGGCCCACCAGGGCCTCCCGGCTCAGGCGGGCCCGTTTGGGGGATGCCTCGGACACTGAGGCTGTGGACGGTGAACGGGGGACCGCTGTCAACCCTGAGCCAGCAAACCGGCCAGCCCCTGAGCAGGCCAAGAAACTGACACGCTTGGACATCTTGGCCATGCCCCGCAAGCGGGCAGGCTCCTTCACAGGGCCCAGTGACTCTGAGACAGCCCCTGCCCGCACTGGCTTCTCTGGCCGAAGTGCTGAGCTCTACAGCACCAGCCGTAAGCCCACGATAGCCGAGGCCCGTGCCGCTGCCAAGAAGGCTGCTGCTACTGCTGCCAACACAGGCCCCCGCCAACCCTTCAGCAGGGCTCGCCCAGGCAGTGCCAGATATTCTTCCAGTGAGTGTGGGGTGACGGGTAGTGGGCTGGTGGGTAGGCAGGACGGCCAGCAGCAGCTGAGCCCCTGGGTACCTGCGCTGTAGACCCTGCACACTCGTGCACTGGCCAGCTGTGCCCGTGGCTCCTATGTGGCACAAGACCACCCCAGGGTGCTTCCCCAGTGGCCTCAGTGCCTGGGGTTGAGGTTGGCGCTGCACCAGGCTAGCACTTCTGGTGACTCTGTAGGGGCCCCAACTGCCCAGCTGAGGACCCAAGAAAGGCTCTCCCAAAGTCCTATGCTCCCTGTCCCCTGTGTTGAAGCCCAGTGAAGGGTGTCTGTCTAATGGGAGTCTTTCTGACATCCTTGGATGGCCACAGAACCCATGACCTGAGAGGGCTGTATCAGTGCACACGAACAGTGAACTCTGCCCGCCCTCTGAGCTGCGTACGTGTATAGTAAGAAGGGACAGACTGGAGCTGGCCCCATTTAGGAGTGGCTGGTGTCCTGTGTGGGTAGCCTCTGTCCCACCCCATCGAGGAGGAGTGCCGTGCCCCAGTGGATTGAGTGGATTGGTTTGAGCAGAGGTGCTGCAGTCCCATCCCTTGGCCCTGCTGTTCTTGGCTGACTCCATTTACCCCTGGGGCCTCCCAGCATCTTCTCATAGACCTGCCTGCTGGGCCCACTGGATGGGGACACAGAAATTGCTGTCCCTAACCCGCCAGCACTGCTTAGCATGCTGGCCCCATCCACCCCTCATCCAAAGTGTATTTCCTGTCAACGCTGCCTGGGGCTCAAAAAACAGCCCTGAGCCAGGGAGTCTTAAGATCCTACCCAGGCAGCCATACTGGAGGATGTGGGTCTGATGAAAGCTGCAGAGACCTGGCTTGGGCTGACAGTGGTCTGACCTCACCCACTTGGTGATCCAGCTGTGTAGTCCCACAGCTGGTCCTTGTGTGTGGCTTACATCATTGTCTACCCAGCACCCTTTCCTGGTGTCCAAGGAGGTGCTCATCGCATCAGACACAGCTGTCTATGACCCTGACCCCTCCCCGCCCCCTGGATGCTGCTCTGGCCTCAGGAGTGCCTGGTCCCTGGCCCTGCATGTCCTCTGGGCTGGGGGTGCTTCTGCTGGGGGTTTCTGGGAACACCTGTGATGCAGCTTGCCGTGCAGCACAGAGCCCTCGTCCCGAGGGACCCTGGGGCTACTGAGGCACTGAGTGTTCTCTGTTCTGTTCTCGCTTTTGAAACCAACCCCCTCACTCAAGACACGCGGCGGAGGCAGCAGGGTTCGGACTACACGTCCACCTCTGAGGAGGAGTATGGGTCCCACCACAGCTCCCCTAAACACACACGCTCCCGTGCCTCGACAGCCACGCAGACCCCGAGGGCCGGCAGCTCTGCCCGGGCGCGCTCCCAGGCCCCGGGCCCCCGGGACACAGACGAGGATGAGGAAGAGCCTGACCCCTATGGCTTCATCGTGCAGACAGCAGAAATCGCAGAGATTGCTAGGTGAGTGATCCATCAGGGCCGGGTACAGATTCCTCCCCTTGCCAAGGGCAGACACGAGGCTGGGCTGGCTTCTGACCCTGCGTATGCTTGGAGATTGTTTGGTGGGTGGTGAATAGATGAGTGGGTGATAAATGGGTTTATAAAGGTGGATGGGTGAGGCCAGGTGTGACGAGCCTTTAATCCCAGCACTCGGGAATCAGAGGCAGGTAGATCTGTGTGAGTTCCAGGCCAGCCTGATCTACAAAGCAGGTTCCAGGTGAGCCAGGGCTGTTGCACAGAGAAACCCTGTCCTGAAAAACATAACAAAAGAAGGTGGATGGATGGATGAATGAAGGGATGTGTGATGGATGGGTAGATGGCTAGGTGGATGGATGGATGTCTGTCTAGGAGGGTGGGGGAATTTTGAGTTCCAGGAACTAGTGTAACCACAGTTTTTACTCTAAATAAACTTCCTCACATGGTCATTCTCTGGGTGCCTTCTGGGGAAAGCTGTGCAGGGATGGGCCTAGTTGATCTATGCCAAGTGCCCTGATGGCCAGGCCCTGAAAGGCTTGTAGAGGACCCCCAGAAGCTATGTGGGCCTCAGGGGTTTTGTGGAGGATGCTGAACTTGAGAGCTCTTGGGAAACTGGAAGGCGACGAGTAACAAATGGCCCTCAGGATGGTGGCCTATATGGGGATGGGTTTACAGTCACTGTAATCTCACAGACAGGAACTGAGTGTGGTGGACTGAGATCATGTTGGGGACAGGTAAGAGAAATGGGTTGAAAAAGAGGGGACCTCCTGGAGGCACATGTGGGCCATAGGAGGATGCATGGCCCGTGGGTGACAAGGAAAAGGACAGAGGTTCCCCAGGTCTCAGCCTCACAGAAGGAGGAACAGGAAAAGGCGTGGCCTCTGTGGGTTTCTCAGGCTCGAGCATCCAGCCTACTGGGCCAGGAGACTGGTGCAGTGTCCTCTATATAGAAAGGACCCAAGAGTGGCAGCAGCTGCAGGGGTGGAACACTTAGAACTTGTGTGTCACCTATAGTCAGAGAGACCTGCTCCTGTGTTGTCTCAGTGTCAGACCAGGAGATGGTGAGGAGCCTGGGCAGCCCAGTGGGGGACCATGAGGCATTTCTGGAGAGGGGCAGGTGTGACACTGGCCTTGGGGCAGCTTCGTGCAGGTCCTACAGCACAGAGACGTGTTCCCCATGGTGTGATCAGAACTTAGCTCTCGGGCATATTAGAAGGCCCCTCAACCCAACTCTGACCCCTGGAGTCAGGCAGCATGATGGTCTCCAGGCATCCCTCCCTGCCCCCATTTCCCTGCTCACCAAGGTGGTACCCACACATTCTGTGGCTGAGTTGTATCCATTTGGGGGGGGGGGTTTGACAGCTACAGTGTCTGGCTGTGGTGTGCAGGAAGAGGAGAAGGTCTGGGAGGGTCCCTACTCACTCTTCCTGTAGGACCCTTCCCCAGGCCCAGCTCTGGCAGGCCCCACACTCCAGGCCTAGACCTTTACCCAGCACAGAGTGGAGTTGGACATACTGCTCTAAGTCACTGTGCATGCCCCCCCACCTCTGTGTGCTGAGGCTCCCCCAAGAGGACCTCTGGCAGAACTTGTCTTTTCCTGTTGGCTACAGGCTAAGCCAGACACTAGTGAAAGATGTGGCCATCCTGGCCAGGGAGATTCATGATGTGGCCGGGGATGGGGACTCACTGGGCTCACCAGGACCTACTCGCAGCCCATCACTTGGGAATGTGCCCCACACCCCTGCCTCCACCATCTCAGCCCGGGAAGAGGTGAGTTCCAGGCCCCTCGGCCACCTTGTGGTTTTCCGTTTGAGGGCTATTAAGATAAGAGCCCACACATTGTCCCTGGGAGCTTGTGGTGTGGGGACTTGTCTTCAGGCTCAGCCGTCTCCTTCCAAGGGAGTGGGTGTCGGGCAAGCCATGACATCTGGCTGTATTCTCTGCAGCTGGTACAGCGCATTCCAGAGGCCAGCCTCAACTTCCAGAAGGTGCCGCCTGGCTCCATGAACTCTCACAACTTGGATCAGAACATGAACAACAGCCGTGAGGATGCCCTGGCCAACAAAACGAGGCCTCGGAACCGTGAGGAGGCACGGTGCCCTTTCCACACTATGTGGCTGCGGGTCGGGGCGTGTTTTAGACAGTGTCTGGGTTGTGAGGTAGAGGCCAGCCAGCTGGGGCAGGGAGTTGGGGGGGGCTGCAGCCATGCTAACGCGTGGACCCTTCTAGGTGATCTTTGATAACCTGATGCTAAACCCGGTGTCCCAGCTGTCGCATGCCATTCGTGAAAACACGGAGCATCTTGCTGAGAAGATGAAGTGAGTGGGTAGTCCTGGGGTACAGTGCCAACAGGGTCACGTGTTCTGGGTCTAATCATCGGTGTCAGAGTGTGCAGGCCAATGGCTCACATGTGGGTAGCCAGGTTCTGCATCCCTGCACTGTTCCCCGAGGTTGGGGTCCTCCTACTTCCTCTCTCCAGCCCTCATCTCCATCTCAGCTGCCCCTACCTAAGTTATTCCCTCCTTGAGCATCAGGTAGCTAGTCATGCTCCTTCCTTGGGCTTCAGTTTTCCTCTTAACTCTATCAAGAGATGGCATCAACTTTACTATGGCAAGAGAGATGTCTGGGGAGGTGCCATTCTGTGTTCTCTGTCACTGTCCTTGTCCCTGCTCCCCTCCCAGGATCCTCTTCCAGAATACAGGCCGGGCATGGGAGGACCTAGAGGCCAGAATCAATGCTGAGAATGAAGTGCCCATCCTGAAGACATCCAACAAGGTAAGACACAGAAGGACCCTCCTTGGCCCGGGCTCCCCAGCCAATGGGCTCTGCTGAGCTGGTGAGCCACAACCTCAGTCTTACTCCAAGTCCACCAGGACTTGAGGCCCCTGCATGTTGCTGCTGTGGCCTACCTCCTCTCTATCCTTTCCAGGAAATCAGCTCCATCCTGAAGGAACTTCGACGTGTTCAGAAGCAGCTAGAAGGTGGGTGTGGCCCCGACCTGGGGCAGGTAAGGGCAACCCTGAGGGCTGATAGCCAGAGTCTCAACTGTCCTGATTCCTTGCTTTTTTCCTCCAGTCATCAATGCCATTGTGGACCCCAGCATGAACCTTGATTTGCTCATGGGAAACAGGGTTCCTACAGGGTCCAGTCAGCCAGGACTTGGGAAAGCCAGGCCAACAGCTCAGAGTTCAACTTCACCTGCCTCGGTGGACACCTTGCTGCCAGCCCTGCCTCTCATGAGCTTCCCACAACGGGCAAGCTGTGGGCCCCCCGGCCTCCCAGAGCCTGCCTTCCTTCCTGATGCTGAGAGGTTCCTGATCTAAGCCGAGAGGCGGGCAAGGCTAGCCTTCTTCTGCGCGTGTGTTCTGTACCTGCCTGTGCATCCCGTGGCCCACCTGCCTGGCTGCAGGCGGTTCTCTGTGAAAACCCCATATGTGCCATAACCCCATGGATGGGTGCCTCCCATGCCCAGCACCCCAACCACTTCATCCAGCTCATGGCCACCCCTCCACAGGCCTCCTAGCCTAGCCCCTGGGCTGTCCATTGCCAAGGGCAGCTGTTGAGGCCTCTTATTCACCCCCACTCCATCACTGTTGTCTTCTCATTAGCTGTGAAGGAAAGAGTACGTTACGCCATTGCTGGACTCCACCAGGCCCGACCTAGGTGCAGCTCCAGCCTGAGAGGCCCTGTCTCATCCCTGTGTGCTGGCTTGAGGCCAGACAGAGAAAGGGGCTGGACCCTGGGGCCAGTCAGTGCCAAACACACTGTCCAGGAAGGAGGCCGCTTGCTCTGTGGCTCCCACCTGAGTCCAGCTGGAGATGCTGCAACGCCCATCAGCCTGGGCAGATGAGTGGTTCATGGAGGTGTTTGGGGCAGGGACCCCACGGCTCTAAGCCTTTGGTGCCAACACAACTGCCAAACCCCTTGAGTTTGGGTACTGTCCCAGCAAGCCCTCCTGAGTTGATTCATCCCAACTAGGGACCCTGGGCTTCCTGACAGCGGCACTGGGTGGAGCTGGGTGGGCAAGCAGCCCCTTCAGTTATAGTGAGTGTTAGAAAAAGAGATTTGGAAGCTCCTGGCTTTGTGATCTAAACCACGTACCTGCCCCTGCCATCCTGGATGGTGTGGGCACGGTGTGGCTACTGCAGCAGGCTCCCGTGGCCTGATCCTTTGTGGGGGTCTGGCAGGGACAGGCCCGCTACTGGTTATGCTTTCTCAGGATTTGTTCGGCTGGGGCCTGCCGGGGGAGCAGATGTGGCCGCTGCCGCTGCCCCTTGCTGGTGTTTCTGGAGGCACTAAGCCAAAGAGCCTGTTGCCTGGAATGGGATGGGGAGAGTGCCATATCGACCAGGCTGGCGTGGGTGTGCTCGGTACCCTGCCTGGCATTTGTGTGGGAGTTGCTCCTGAACAGGACCAATCCGCTGGGGAGAGGTAGCTGCGCCGGGGGACCCAGAGACCTCAGGTAGCATGGGTCCCCCTGTTTACACTTAGCTGATAGAGAATCATGCACCGGTCCTGTGTGCCTCTGCCCAGCCCACCTGATGTTTACGTGTGCGTGTGTGTGTGTGTGTGTGTGTGTGTGTGTGTGTGTGTGTGTGTGTG